TAGATAGTCACACCAAAAACGGAAGAGACGAGCGTACGGAGAATGGTACCCTAATCTACAGACAGGGACCCCGAACTGTGGCCGTTCCCCTGTCTCACCTAAACCAGCTGCGAGGTGTACTCATACAGGAAGTTCGCCGTCAGAGACTCGCTCCCCAGGCAGAGTGGCCATCTGAAGAGCTGGCCAGCATTTTGGGGCAAAGGGGGGGTGGTCAACTGCCTAGATCGTGCCTCAGCGCCTGGTCCTTTGAATTAAACACTCACACTCTCTCTGATGATCTGTCTTAGTGGACAAGTGCTCTGGTTGTCTGTCCCCGTCGCTAACTAAGAGTGGCCCTTTGAACAACCAGTCAGCTTCATCACGGGTCCCAGTCGTTCAAATGTGAATAAAAAGCTTGGAAAAGAGAAGCTCTTAGAAAGAAGGAGACATCTACGAACAATGGTGAAGCCACCTCCCGCCCAAATATTTACATGACTTCGGAGGAAACTTTAAGAAGTCTGTGACATGAAAAGTTCAAAATACCATTATGAGACATTTACTACACCACATGGAGCAAAACAGACCTCGTTTATTGTTCATGTCCAAGAAAACGAAGAAGCCGACGTTTTCATGTTCAGTATTTATCAGCTCAGAGTTGGGGGAAAGAAGTGTTCCAGCAATCATTTTTTTCACTGCAGCGTGTTACAGCAGTGCATTTCCTCTGAAAAGATTAGTGCACATTTCGGTCGTGGCTTCCCATCCCGATTTAACAGATGCGGGGACACAGTGGGGGACAGGGCGCTTGCCCCAGGGGTTCCAGGAAGGAGCTCACCTACGTCCCAGGTGTGCTCACGGCATCGCTGTTTCTTCGTTTCCGCGCCTTTGCCTTGCTGCCTGCAGCCCACGGGACCTGGGAGGCGTCACCCCACGTCGCTGAGTCAGATGTCCCTGATCTGCAGGGTGACGGGGCGGTGGGGAGGCTGGACGCCCTGTGTGCGAGTGCCTGCCGCACCCCCCTGGCACGTGGCGGATGCCCAGCCCCGTTTCGTCCTCCTGGAGCCTGACCCGAGCAAGAAGAGGGGCGCAGCGTCATTGAACAGGCCCGCCGCGTGCTCGCCTCGGGACCGCAGATCGGGGAGGAAGACACGGCAGTCCACGCCCGAACAGGGGAGGCTGGCGAGCAGCACCCGGGTGCTTCCACCCGGCAGACAGATGAGGGGCCCGAGGCGAGGCGCGAGTTCCAGTCCCGGGCGCCCTGCTGAGTTCGACGAGGCAGGGAGGTGGGGGCTGGGCCCTCGATGACAATGACAATCGTGTCGTGGTGGGGTAACTGCCTGTCGTCTCTCCGTCCTTGCTAAGGATGCCACACTCTCAACTACTGAGTTAACTTTTATTTTTACTTGTTCTGTTTTCTTTGAAAGAAATAGATGGAATTTTCTATTGCTCTCTAAAATAATCACCGTAGCGAAGATAAAGGACCTGAGACTTTTTTTTCATAGTTCTCCTGGGCGGGACTCTCGTTGTCACGGGCTCCCTGCGAGGGAATGACCGCCGGCCGTCCTCGCCGCAGGGAAGGCGAAGGGACCGGCTGTGGCACGCAGAGCAAAAAGGGCTGAAAATTGGAAGCGCAGTGTCGATGCTCCTTGGACTCAGAAGAAGACTTCCCAGACTTCCCCACGGGCAAAACAGAGAAAACACTCCCCCGTCTCACAAGGAATGCCCCCCCGGGAGAGCATCATGTACACATTTAGGCAGGACATCCATTGAAAGGCGTCTTTCCTGCACGGAAGTCGAAGGAGGCCGTGAAGGGGCCTTCCAGTGGAGAGAACTCTCTGGATCCCGTCTGGGTCCTCGCCTCCCCACGCTCCCCCCGGCCCCGGGGTTCCTCACAGGACTTACAGGGCAGCACCCCTCCCTCCTCCTCCCGCACAGGGGCGTTTTGTGTCGGGAGTGAACATTTAAAAACTCTCGAGGCATTGTTTCAGACATTGAGGGTAATGAAAAGTAATTGCTGAAACTTCACCCCTTGGCCTGAAGGAGCTCGTAGGGTCACCAGTGACATGAGATAGGACTGTAATGACCGCAGGTCGGTGTGAGCCATGCCATGGCCATAGGAAGGGCAACACCGAAGCACTGTGGAAGTTCAGGGGCAAGAGGGGCTCCAAGGGGCGGGTGGGGGCAGACACAGGGGACAGCAGGGTATTCGAGGGCAGGAGTTGCCTAAAATGCTTGGTCATGTTAGGGCGTAAGAGCTTCTCCTGCTTGGGCTGGGCACAGAGGAAGGAAGGAAGGGAGGGAGAGAGGGAGGAAAGAGGGAAGGAGGGAAGGAAGGAAGGAAGGAAGGAAGGAAGGAAGGAAGGAAGGGGGGGAAGGGAGGGAGGGAGGAAGGAAGGGAGGAAGGGAGGGAGGGAGGGAGGAAGGAAGGAAGGAAGGGGGGAAGGAGGGAGGGAGGGAGGGAGGGAGGGAGGGAGGGAGGGAGGAAGGAAGGAAGGAAGGGGGGAAGGGAGGGAGGGAGGAAGGAAGGGAGGAAGGAGGGAAGGAGGGAGGGAGGGAAGGGAGGGAGGGAGGGAGGGAGGGAAGGGAGGGAAGGAAGGAAGGAGAGAGAAAGTTGACTCTACCTAGTCCAACACAATGTCCGGCATACTACTATGGAAAAATACAGGAGTAGTTACCATGCTCACCTTAGAAACCACAGAAGAAATAGGCGCCTTATGTGAGATCTTAGAAGTGTGTGGTGGCAGACGCAGTTGGAGCCAGGGCTCCTGACGGCAGCCCTAACCCCCACCGGTTTGCCACAGCGTGAAGAGGGCGTCCCTGCTGTAACAGTGAGAGTGAGGCTGGGTGAGTGGAAAAAACCTTTTCCCAAGAAAAATGTGTGACTGTCTATGGAATGGACCGTCGCATGTTTGGTAAGCAATGTGCACACTCAGAATAGTCAATGATGTTATATTCAGAATAGTGTACCTCTGAATGAAATCCACTATGACGAATATTTGTGACACTGACACGGGACCGATTATAGCATTTTAGCTTCTCAGATTTCACTAAGTCTTTGAGATTACAAAGGTAAAGTACATAGCTCTTCAGTCAAGGCATAAACTATAAAAAGAAAAGACAAACAGTCAGTGATTTGCTTCAGGATTTACTGTGCAGGGAAGAAAAACTTTGTCATTGGCCTGACAGAAATAAATGTCATTTAATTAAAAGTATGCTAGAAAATGCATGCGCCCAGCATGGATGAACAGGGCAGGGCGGGGAGCACTGTGTTATAATGGTGTATCAGCAGTAAGGTGGCGAGCAGAGTTTGAGCAGCCTTCAAACACTCTCTTCAGCGCATGGTTACATTTCTTTGCGATTACACTGCCAATGCAAATTTTGCTTTAACTTGCACATGCTGGACATGGTGGGGAAGGAAGTGGCCGTCAAATGTGGCGGCCATTTCCCTTGTATCTCACGGGAATGAGGGGCCAGGTGCTTTCTGTCCTGGGCGGTCACTTTAGAAAGGGGAGATGAATACATGACTCCAGCCCACTGGAGCCGATTGGCAATGCCCATGCTAAAAAGGAAACCGTGATTTCACAAACTATCTTCTCTAAAGAGTGAGCCATTTTACTTAAGAGTGTTGCTATCAGCATTTTTGAACTTTCATTCAATATCAGACATTGTGTCAAGTGCCATTAACCATGTAAGGAGACAGGTAATCAATCCTCCCTCTTTTTTTTTTTCAAAAAATAAATCTGTCAAAGAATCTCTCTGCCGAGGGTAACAAGAATACATATTTAACTTTGGAAAATTCTGGTGCTAGTGGTTCTGCATAGATTGCATTTATTTTCCCTGTACCCTCTTTGTTCTCACAGTTTCATGGGGACTGTATTGCCACTTTCCCGGTTTTGACCCTTAGCACCCAACCTGAGAGAGGGAGCACCCACCCTCCGGAGACCCATCACTAACCTCTGGGTGTTCGCGCATTGGGTTTTTGTGAGGGCGTGCTGTGTTTACGATGTGGCTCCCCTACCAAGCAGGGGAGAGTCTATGACCGTGCTAATGTGACCTGACAGAGAAACAGCCACGGGAGGCAACCACACGGTCATGGGAGAAGGAAGCCCCCCACGGTGCTGTGGCAGCCACTTTGTGACAGCACTGTTCTTGTGCCCACCTTGCTGTCATTGCCAAGGTGGGCCTATGCACGATTTGGCTGAAATACTCAAGACGTTGAATTTCTCTGCCCTGACCCCACTCAAACCCCTTTAATCTTCCTCCAATGAAAAAGAAAAAAGAAATAAAGAGAAAAATGCTTTCAGCCCAATTACATTCTTGTTTTCTTACTAATAACAGTACTTGATTCATCATTTGTAACTAGAAGTTTTTAGATAAAATACATAAAGAAAAATTGCAAAAATATAACTGACTTGTCTCCCTTACAAGGTCTCGAAGGTCTTTCAAAAATGGTCAGTCCTTGATAGCACTAACTTTCTCCCTCCAATTGCAAGGGTAACATTGAGAAAGATCTTCCTCGAAAAGAAAATGCCCAAACGAGCCCATCCCCGAACACAGGCCCCGCCCACCAGCAGCTGTAGCTCTCAGTCCAAGGATCCCATCCCCGAACACAGGCCCCGCCCACCAGCAGCTGTAGCTCTCAGTCTGGGGGGCATCTCCTGTGGTTTCAGGCCGAAGCTGCAGGACAGCAGGGCACGTTTGCATTGTGGGCACCAGTAAAGGGACAACCCCATGACCGTAGGGAGCGACCCCAGAGAAGGGCAGGAAGCAAGCCGTTCTGGATCCGTTCCCCTGCGTGTCCCCACGGCGGAAAGGCATTGTTTGAAAACAGACGAGCACGACCAATTGCCCGGGACTGAAATGCTTTGTATGTGTTGTCATTTACAGTGCATGCCAAGACATTCATGGGCACCAGAGCCAAGCTGGCGAGCTAATTAAATATGTATGTGTATGTGTTTAAACAGCCTGATAAGGAGCGTTGGAAATCTTCAAGATGAGCGAATATCTTATAACTTCTTCCGCAGGTGCCAGGATAGCTACAAGCCATGGACTTTCTGTCCTGCTTCTTGTTTGTGGCTTTGTGAAGGGTGCTTTGCTTTAATCTAAAGTGCTGACTTTTTTCCAATATCACTTTCTCTTCTTAAAGCAAAGAGCAAATCGCCTGTAAAATCTACGGAGCGGACAGCAAAGTTGACCCTAAACTCCAAGCACCACTCTGCACCCACTGTAGTCTAATTGCCTACCCAAGGAGCGCCTGCTTCCGGAAGCATACATGAAGAGGCTTTCCCACGCTTTGTTCATAATGTTTTCTTGGGCAAATCATTGATCTTTTGTTTGAAGAGAATTAGCGTGAAGTGATAGGACGTCTTCTAATAGCAAGATCTATTTTTCCCCTTTTCTTCTGGCTACTTAACATGTCATCTCAGGGGTTGGCCTGAATGTCGTCGGGATAGTAAACACATGCTATGGATACCGCAGATTTCCTACTAAAAGACCCATTCTCTGCAGGAAGCAAACGGAGAGGAAACGGCTACAGAACATAGAGTATCATCAGACAAAACCCCGGTTTTGGGGGGCAACAACAAAATTATCAACACTGCGAGGCAACGAGGAGAACGTTATTTTAAATAAGAAAGAATGAAAGGATTTTTTTCTAATTTTTTCCTTTTTCTTGGATTTTTCTCCTTCTTCTTGATTGTACTTCTTGTTCAATGGTGGCAAGTGCTGATTACGGCCAATCCCTGTCAATCCTGGGAGGTTTATAGAAATACATTTTGAGTGTTCTATATTTCAATGTATTTTAATTCATTTTGCAATTCCCGCATATGCAAATCTGACAAATTCTGTAAATTGCTTATAGTATGTGTGATATAACTTCAACGTAGATAGACTATGACCTTCATGCAAGCTGATTTTTATCATTATATATATGAATATACACATATAAATATCTATATGTTGGGTCATCGGCCAACTTCTTTTGATAAAGCATTTGTTTCTCACCTATGACTCGTATGTTGTGGGGATTTGGTAATGCATCATTTCACTCCCACAGGTTTGGCAGCCGCGGGTGGTCTCCGTCGGCTCATGCTTCTTTCTGGAAAATGCGTATTCAAAATTGTACTGGTCTCTGAGAAATGAATTGATTCTGTCGTGTGTATGCTTGTTGGAATTTGCTACGTTCCTTTCTATATGATGTCTGTTGAGGTTCGAGGGTCTCTTGACTCTAAGCGATGTGCCCTCTCTGGTTTTGACCGCAACCTTCATGCCATCATCACCATCATCGCCATCAGAGAGCAGTGCTGCTCCTAGACAACTTGCCTCGGAGGTGAACCCGGGGAAGGTGAAGAGGCCGCCATGATTCCCCGGATTCATGGACGAGCGCTTCTCGCTGTGACTAAACGTGTGCTTCCTGGGACCTTGACGCATTTTGGTTTTTTTGGTTGTTTTTTTTTTGTGTGTGTGTGTGTGTAACTTTGTCATTCTGTTATTTGCTCCTAATTACATCTTAATGTCTCCTGATTAAAAATGAAAATTTGGTTGTTGGCTAAATAGAATATGCAAAAGACGACTGCAAATTTCTGATTGAAGAAGATTGTGCACTCAGTGTCCGCCAGTTAAGTGGATTATAATTTTAAATGTTCCATTCTTATTTTGGGTTTCATGACAATTCCGGCTACTTCCTGTAGAACCTGTGCTCTCCTCTGGCAAAGAATGGCGGGACAGCACTTCGCGGGTTTTCCATAGTCACTATGGAATCGATGTGGGTTGGGGCAGAAATGACCTGCGTTTCCCTTCCAGAGAGATCCTCCCATTTTCTTTCATAACAAACCCAGGAGACCGTCATCTTCCAGCCTAAGGTCCTAACCTGAAGCTTGAAGGCAATGAATACCTCTGCTTTTCAAAGGTAAATGCATCGATTTTCTGCAACTTAATGAGAGGCAATGTGCATATTTTCATAATATTCTTGACATTATCTTATGGGAATTAATGTTTCATGCTAAATCTTTTATTGACACCTTTCTTGTTCGTTTGGTTTATTATTTCAGCCTAATGAGAAAAATAAATAAAGGATTTGATTGCACTATTTTATTAACTTAGAAATTTATTTTCTTTCAAAGTTTAAAACATGCAATGCATAAGAGAATGGTGAGATCACTGTTATTTATTAAGTCTCTCTGGGCTTTCAAGATCACATGCGTTCAACCATAAATTAGTATACTGGTTCAAATTCAGGCAGGCTGAGAAAATCTACCATGTGATACACTTTTATCCAAAGTTCAGGCCACAAGATTGGTCAGTTCTACAGCAGCTACATGTGTATCTTTATCAGTTGCTTGCTGGTAGTAAAGGACATGATAGCTTGGGACAAATGCGCTGGTAGACTCATTGTATTCAGTGCCCAGAATAAGACGTGTTTTTTGTCAGTAGGCTACCAAGAGTCCGACTCACTGGCCTCTTGGGAAAAAGCCATGGGACACTGTTTCTCCAGACTCACAAGTGAATGTGGAACCTTAAAAAAATGGAATAGAAGCTGTAACAAATGAAGGAGGTCAGCTAGTCATTTCCGCCTTACATTGCATCCCTCTGGGACCGTCTGTACGCAGCCAGAGCTAGACAAACCAGTAAAGATCAAAAACAAGTTACCTGACTTCCTCACCCTTGGTCTCCCAGGTTACGTAATGCTTTCCAAAGAGAGGAAATCATTAGAAAGTGGACATTGCTTACCTGAATTCAAGTCAAGCTCTCTGGTTCTTTCTTAAAGACTTAGAAATTGCTTACAAATGAAACAATGCCTTGAACACACTTGAGGATGACATAGGATGACAAAAGCATCTAAATCCGAAGCTCTTAATCTGGGTCGTAAGTAAGGCTGGGGAGCCCGTGCGCCCACTGGAACTGTATGCATATTTCTGCATGTGTATGTTTTTCGGAGATGGCCATTCGCAGTCATTGATTCTGAAAATGATTAAATTATGATCTGCTTGCTCACAAGAATGCTTAGATGCTTTTGAGCACCTGAAAGGACCTATTATAATTTTGAATTAGTTTACCTTAAAGTTTTGGAAATAAGACATGTTTAGGGAAATAGTGTGTATGTATATTTGGCAAAAATATATATTTTTAAGTGTCTTTCTATTTCTCATATACAGCATAGAATAACAGACATGGGATGATGTTTGTTCAATTTCTGGAACCAATGCTAAGAGCTCAAAATATAATTTTATAAAATATATGCAACTACCACTGATACTGTATAAAAGATAAAACATTAAATATAACTTGGTAGTTTCTGAAAGGGAAAATAATTGCAAAAGGAAGTACAATCTGTCTTAAATAATACATTGACTTTGACAACTGCATCTTGGAATTAAGACGATGAAGCTACAAACTAAGTCTGCACATGATTTCAAATGTACGGCCCAAATAATTTTAATTACAGAACCTCTCCTTAATTAGGGGAGCATCTAGCATTCAGGAAGTGTCAGAGACTTTACAGTTTGATTGATGAAATACATAAGGTCCTTTCCTGTACCGAGGTAGAGACAGACTAAGCCCGTGACAGCGATAAATCCTAAGAAGAAAACCCAGTAGGACGATAGGAAGGAGTGTAACTGTAAGAGGTCAGGAGATGCTGCGCCCGGGAGGCCACCCGGAAGCAAAACCTGAAGGAGAAGCAGCAAAGTGGGAGAGGATCTGGGGGAAGAAGCGTCCAAGCTCCTGCAGAACTCCCATGGCAGAGCCTGTGCGGGCAGGCTCACCGGCCGCAGTGAGGAAAGCCGCACAAACGTGAGGGGAGAAGGGCAGGAGACATGATCAGACGAGGAAAGCCAGATAAGACGCCACCAAGGAGAGCGGGGTGGGACACTTTGTGCAGGTGCACTGTGGCTTGCAGCCTGAGCAAGGGTGCTACGGTGCAGGCGCCCTCCGGAGCCCACTTCTTACTGCGTATAGTTGAGCCTGTGAACAAGACTCCTTTGGGAATAACGCTGTATCGTTCACATAGTCCAGTCTGGAACACCCGCGTGTATGAGGCAGGAGGGAATCTAACTCCGTATTTTAGTGCCACTTGACCATTGCTAATTTTGAGGGGGAAATGGAAAGACTGAAAGGTTAGTGGGACTACTTTTAGTGCAGGACTGAACTACTTACAATAACTACAAATGTCGTTTGAAATAAAAACAGGAGTATATACATTGAAAGCACAGACAGACTGAAAGTAAAGAGCTTTCACTCCTAAACACTTGTTTGGTACAATAGTGTAACAAGATGGGAGGAGGAGGATGAAAGAACTCTACATGTACACAGAGAAAAAAATGATCAAAAAACCAGAAAGTAAGATCTTAGCGTTTTCCAAAAGACAATGGATTAAAAAGCACAGCGGGGAAATACTATTTTACACTGTGTTAAATTATATTTTCATTGCTGAAATAAAACCATTCTGAGATACTCAAAGCTCATAGAAAAATAGCACATAGTATCTACTCTTCTTGAAAGCTATGCTTACCTACTACTTCAATTCAGACAGGAGTCAAATACAATTTTAAAAATAAACAGGCATAATATAAACCATCTACCATAAGAGATTGTATTCAATGTAAAGAATTACTCAATATTTTATTGTATTTCACTGTATATGAAAAGAAACTGAAGTTTCACAAAACAATATTCATCCTTATTTTGTGCATGCTATAAAATGCACTCTAATATTTTCTATTTTGTTTTGCTAAAACTTGTCCCAAACCATTCAATTGGTTTTACAACCTAAAATTAAAAAAAATCACACTTGTGTTTTATCCCAAAATGTAATCCAGATGGCAAGAATAATTCAATGACAGCATATAATACAAAACAATAATCTGAGTTCTCAACTCGTACTGTGTTTCTTGAAGCTAGGAAGTCAGAGACGATCCAGGGAAGAGAGAGGTGTGCCTCCTCTGTCCCCCACTGAGGGGGGACCCCGTCCTGCTGTTTGAGTGTTCTGTTTTGGGGTTCTGTCCTTTGATTTTAGACTTATCATCACCCGAACCCCCTTCCCGTGTGTTTGCGATAGCCCCACCCCACTTAACAAATGGCGAGACCCTCCAGAAGACATTCCTTCCTCAAAGCCTTGGGGAGCCTCTGGAGAGCAGCAGCACGTGACACCCCAGCAGTCCCCGGACACCAGGGAACCGTGGGCAGACTTTGGGGTGGTGATGTTTAGTCCCTGGAGGAAAGGCAGGGCTGGGGACCAGGAAGGTCAGCGGCATCATCTGACCCAGTTAGGAAGAGCTGATGGATCGCGGGATCGCCAGGGCGGGAACCGATGGGCACCTGTCGGGAAGCCACACTTGATCTGTGTGATAACCTCATAAGGAAAATCCTCCATTTCTTGCAAACAGAGTTTTGAGCCAGCGCCGCGAGGTCACACTCTTCATCAAAACCTATCAGCAGAGCCAGATTCGTTGCAGGGATCACTGGCCTCGACAATAATACTTCGTGTGCATGCTGAGAATATCGCTCTCGGCATCTTCCCAAGGGACTGAGTCGTTCGGGGAGTAGCTGTGCATCGAAGCAGGAGGCTGCCCAGAAGTTGCTGTGCTACCGGTCAGTGACTCAGCAGTGACTCAGCATCAACACCGTACCCTGGGTCCCTGGGGCGCACCGGCCCAAGACCGGGTGAGCGGATGATGAATATAATAATCCTAAAATCTATTGCTGGCCCATGGAGGCCACTATACCCACCAGCAATTATTCCCCCAGCTCCCAAAAGCACGGTTGAACTGTATACCTTTAGCAATGGGGAGAAAAAAACTTCTACGTTGGGTTCCTGCCCCATAAAGTAATGACGATAAGTTTTTGAAGGAACCTTGAGTTTCTCTTTACCCAAGCAGTTAATAAAAAGCAATGACGAATGCATGCCACCATTCAAGTCCCAGGTGAAGCGTACACCCCTTTCTCTGGTCATACAGAAGCAAGCTGAGCCCACCTGCGTGGGGCTGGGTCACCACAGCATGGCCAGGAGCCGAGAGCAGTCGTAGCTGCTGATCCGAATACCCTGCTCACTGGGGCAAATCGGCAGAGCTTCCGGCATGGGTCATGCAGTTAATCATTGGGTGCTGTTCTAGTTTGTTGCAATTAGAATAAATAAAAGGGTTTTTTTAACCTGGCAGGGATGAAAGTATCCCTCTACCATCTTACCTCAAACCTCTGTTGACCTTCTGAGTCTGACCCACGATTTAGTCTTCCTTACTAGCGCTTGGGCAGCCTGCAGGTGGCATCCAGCTGGTAGGACCTGGAGAGCAGGATGAAACAGCCGCTGGAGGCTTTGATAACTTCCACAGGTGCTACAGGATGGGGAAAAAACTATAAAAAATGTAGGGCCGCGATGGCTTCAAGCTTACCTGGAGACATGCAAGGAGGTAATAATTCCAGTCTTTCACAAACTATTCAGTGAACAGAAATGTGGCATCGTCTCCAACCCATTTTTTGAGATGAGTGTTACCTTGCTAGTGAACTTGACAATGACAGTGAGAAAGGGCAATTACAGGCTAACCTGCCTCATGAATATAAGTGCAAAAATCCTCTACAGAATAGTGACAAGAGAAACCCACTGACGCCTACTGCACCACATAGAATGAGCATGCTTTCTTTCAGGAGTGCAAAAACTGGGAAAAAACAACAGTGAGATCCTCGCTGGTCTTACATCGTTAGTCCCCAGAGCAGACAGCGAGGCCATGATTCGAGGGCAACTGGTTTATCGGGGAGGTTCCGAACCCCAAGCAGAGGAGGAGGAAGTAGGACAGAGTGTGTTGTCAAGCCAGCCGTCCCTGTGGGCCACCTGAGCTCTGTCCCGTGGGGGAACTAAGCAAGCAGTGTAAAACACGCCCCTCGGACCGGTCCCCATCCGAAGGAGAACCTGTGACACTTAAATGCCGACTCCTGCCCGTCGTGGGTTGAAGGAGGGCGACAGAACTAGGGTTACTTTCCAGGCACTTGAAGCTGGCCTTGTGCGTGGGCAGCAGAGCCTTCTGTGACTTCCGAGACAGTCTTTGGGAGGAGAATTGCAAGACG